GCTCTCTGCAACCTCCACCTCTGGGGTTCAAGCGATTCTCCTGCCTCAGCCTCCCCAGTAGCTAGGATTACAGGTGTGCACCACCACTCCTGGGTAATTTTTTTTTTTATTTTTAGAAACAGGGTTTCGCAATGTTGGCTAGGCTGGCTCGAACTTCTGACCTCAAATGATTCGCCTGCCTCAGCCTCCCAAAGTGCTGGAATTACAGGTGTGAGCCACAGCGCCCAGCCCCATTTCAATGAATTAATGTAGAAAATCATATTGCACAGTGCCAAACACAGCGGCACTCATTCAGTGGAAGCTTAGTATTCTTACTGAGAACATGGAAATAGAAGAGTATTTCCCTAACAAAGCTTCTAAATCTATCTGTGTCAAAACAGTTAAGATTGTTAATATAAAATGCCAGATAAAAGTTAGTATTACATATACCATCATGCATTGCTAAATGATAGGAAGATGTTCTGAGAAATGTGTTGTTAGGTGATTTCATTGTTGTACAAACATCAAAGTGTACGTACACAAACCTAGACAGCATAGCCTATGACACACCTAGGCTACAACCTGTACAGCCTGGGTGACAGCATGTGACTGTACTGAATACTGCAGGCAATTGTGACAGAAAGTACTAAGTGACAGGAGTCTTTCAGCTCTATTATAATCTTACAGGACCACCATCATAAATGCCATCCATTGTTGACCAAAATGTCTTCATATGGTGCATGACTGTATTAAAACAAAAGGGATTTTATAGGTAGATAGTTACAAATATGAATACAGAGATCAAGATAGACAGGAAAAATTTTCTGCAAGTATATATGCTAAGATATTAATAGTTGTTTATATCTATGTAATAAGATTATAGAGTTTTTCCTTTTCTATACTGAATTTTTAAAAATATGATCCTTTTGTAGTTTGTAAGTGTGATGATTGGGGATTCACACTCGTGTGTGAGATGTGTCACCCTCAAATCTTTTCACGTCGGCAAAATACTCATCTGACATGAAAGAAAGATGGAAAAAAAGAATTTTTAAAAATGTAAATGCAATAGCAAACGTTAAATCACAATAGAGACAGTAAAAAATAGCACTGTTCCAGAAACCCAGACAAGCTGGGAAATCTCCAAAAGGCAGTGGAAATGGATTAAGAGCTCAAAATGATAAGGGAAGTGAAGTGACAAGATTTGAGAATCAGAAAATGAATGTACAACCTAAGGCTTACAGATATTTTTAAGAGATATATTTGAGCTATCAGAAGTTCTAGTCAAAGCAGTGGCTGAATAAAACTTTTTTTTTTTTTTTTTTTTTTAAAGAGACATGGTCTGGCTCTGTCACCCAGGCTGGAGTGCAGTGGCACAATTATCACTTGCTGCAGCCCCAAACTCCTGGGCTCAATTGATTCTCCTGCTTCACTCTCCTGAGCAGCTGGGACTACAGGCACACATCACCATGCCTGGCTAATTTTTAACATTTTTTGTAGAGACAGGGTCTCACTATGTTGCTCCTGGCCTCAGGCTCCCAAAGTACTGAGACTACCGGAATGAGCCACTGTTCCCGGTCTGAAGAAAACTTCACCCAGGAAAAAAAAAAAAAAAAAAGTTGTGCAAATAAAAAGGTTTACTCAATCAAAAGAAATCCATATTGGTGGCCGGGCTCGGTGGCTCATGCCTGTAATCCCAGTACTTTGGGAGGCCGACGCAGGCGGATCACGAGGTCAGGATATCGAGACCATCCTGGCTAACACGGTGAAACCCCGTCTCTACTAAAAATACAAAAAACTAGCCGGGCATGGCGGCGTGCACCTGTAGTCCCAGCTACCTGGGAGACTGAGGCAGGAGAATGGCCTGAACCCAGGAGGCAGAGCTTGTAGTGAGCCAAGATCGTGCCACTGCACTCCAGCCTGGGCGACAGAGCAAGACTCAGTCTCAAAAAAAAAAAAAAGAAAAGAAACCCATATTGGTTAAATGATTATTTTTGGCCAGCCACGTGGTGGCTTATGCCTGTAATCCCAGCAGTTTGGGAGGCAGAGGCGGGCAGATGACTTGAGGTCAGGAGTTCGACACCAGGGTGGCCAACATGGTGAAATCCCATCTCTACTAAAAACACAAAACTTAGCTGGGTGTGGTGGTGCACACCTGTAATCCCAGTTACTCGGGAGGCTGAGGCAGGAGAATGCTTGAACCCGGGAGCCAGAGGTTGCTGTGAGCTGTGATCACACCACCACACTCCAGCCTGGGTTACAAGAGCGAAATTCCATTTCAAAAAAAAAAAAAAAAGTTTGGCTGGGCGCACAGTGGCTCACGTCTGTAATCCCAGCACTTTGGGAGACTGAGGCGGGCAGATCATGAGGTTGAGAGATCGAGACCATCCTGGTCAACATGGTGAAACCCCGTCTTTACTAAAAAATACAAAAATTAGCTGGGTGTGGTGGTATGCACCTGTAGTCCCAGCTACTCGGGAGACTGAGGCAGGAGAATCACTTGAACCCGGGAGGCAGAGGTTGCAGTGAATCGAGATTGTGCCACTGCACTCCAGCCTGTCCACAGAGCAAGACTCTGTCTCAAAAAAAAAAAAAAGTTTATATTCAACAGTAAGTAGGTTAAAGAATTATTCTAACATCCGTGTGCATACGTGTATATGTCATATGTCCAAGTTACGTAGAAAAGAATGAAAGTAACCCTGGCCTCAGACTTCTCCTTGGCAACACCACTACCAGAAGACAGAAGCGGGATCACAGAAAGCAGGGATGCAGGGTGACAGGCCGATCCTATAGCCTCGATTAGGAAGAGAATCGGAAACCATACCACTCGCTTATCTTTCTTGCAAAGAATACAAGCATACTTGAAGGTCCACCCCAGCTGAGAAGCGAATCAAAAGACACTGTTAGGAATGAAGGTGTGGTGTAAAAAGGTTGTAGGTCTTCACTTATTCACCTCATGTCCAGACTCAGAGATGTGTTAGCTGGTGAGTTCCATCGCCCCTACAGCCTAACTCTACAAGTTTCCTTGCCCTTTCCCGGGACCAGGAAAGGAAGTGGCCGATGCAGCAAAACCATGCAGAGGCCGAGGGACACAGGACCGGATCCCGCTTCCCGAGACAGAGGGAAGGAAGTAAATTCGGCTTCCTACTGACATTTTTTTAAACGGAAGTTAAGAGATTAAGGGACTTTCCACCTCTTTTTCCCTGAGAAATCAGCGGCAAGGCCAACTGCAGGGCTGTGAGAGGGACAGAGCCTTTGTGCAAGGCGTCCAGGAGACAGGCGAGCGCCCAGCGGCTTCCCGCAGACGCACAGAACCGCGCGTCTCCCCTCTGGCCCGGTAGTAAGGGGACGCCTGCATCCTCAGTCCCTCTCGCACACTGGGGAGGGCGACTGACGCTGGGGCGTCCGGGGGGTGACTTTGTGTCCTGGAGAGGGGCGGGGTGCGTGTACAGAGGGTGGCTTCTCTGGGGGGGGGGGGGCACCTGCTAGACCGACCGGGTGGCCCCAAAAGAGCGCGGGGACCTCAGGGTGGGGGGCGCGGGCGGCCTTACCCCCGGGCCCGGTGGAGACGGTGACCTGCGCGTAGGTGGCTCCCGCGGCGGCCGCCGGGCCCGAGACGCCGTTGAGTGCGGCCACGCGCACGGTGTAGCGCGCTCCGGGCCGCAGGTGCAGCAGCGTGGCGGCTCGCTCCCGCAGCCCTGCCTGGCGCGGTACGAAGGCCACACGCGGCCCGCACGGCTCGCACGCGCCCGCCGGGCCCTCGCGGCCGCAGCGCAGGCACAGCAGCGAGTAGGTGACGTCCGAGCGGCCTCCCGAGTCGGCCGGCGGCAGCCAGCGCAGTCGCAGCGCCAGCGGCGAGCGGCTCAGGCTGTACTGCAGGTCCCGCGGCGCCGACGGCGGCCCTGAGGCGGCACAGGGGCGGGGCGGTCAGGGCGGGGCGTGGGTGCCCGTGAGGGGGCGGAATGCACGAGGGGGGCGGGGGCTGGTCCACCCCCCGTGAGGCAGGAGAAGCAGGGGCGCGAGGGTCAGTCGGGGAGGAGGGAACGGGGCCGTTCATCAAGGGACTGGGTGGATGAGGGGGGACGGGAGACGGGAGGGACGGTGGCGTGGGGTCTGTCAGGGAGGAGAGTAGAAGGGACGACCAGTGAAGGAACAGGGATGGATGAGCGGCAATGGGCTGTGGGAGCCAGTGAGTAGGGGGGATAGGACAGGGGTGAGGGGTCTGGGGTGGGAGGAATGGGGGCGTGGGTTCAGTTAAGGACATTGGAACAGACATGGTCAGTCAGTGAGGGGTCGAGGGCAGATGAGCCCGGGGCGAGCGGGAGCAGGGGCTCGCCCCTCCCCCAGGGAAGGGTCAGGGATGGGGGCGTGGGATCCCTTGGGAGGTTGGAATGTGAGAGTGGTGGGGCGGTTGGTGAGGATTTGGGAGGAGGTTAGTGAGGAGCGGAGGATGGGATCATGGGGACCAAGAACCGATGGTGCCAAGGAAGGTCGGGAGCCCCCCTTTCGGCTGGAGGGTAGGCAGGGTGAGGAGAGGGCGGCGGAGGGGCGCTCTCCTCAGTGATCCACCAGGCATCCTAACCCCATCCTCCGTCTGGACTCTCGCAGTTGTTCTGGTTCTTCTCATCAAAGGCCCTGGCCCCCAGGGCGCGCCCAGGCTCCGCTCCCCATACCCCGCCTTCCGGGCGCTGGCCCCCATGTCCGCCCTCCTAGGCCCCAGTGTGGAACCCCTGCCTTCACCACCACCTGGATCAGGCCTTCCTCCTTGGCCACCCCCCAACCCACCCTCCGCAGTGCAGCCTGGAGGGGGACTCACGGGTGCAGGACGCAGAGGGCGGGTCGGTGGGCGAGCGAGCATAGCTGTCCTGGCACACGCAGAAGGTGGAGGCGTTTTCCAGGGCCCGGCTGTGCTCTGGGCACGGTGAGCAGAGGGGCCGCCGCGGGGACACCTTGTAAAACCCTGGGGGACAGGCTGCAGGGCATGGCTGGTGAGAAGAGGGGGCTCCTCCACAGTTTCTCCCCACTTTCCTGACTGGCCTGGTTAGGGCAGCGTTTATCTCCTCAAATTGCGATAGAAAAACAGGGAACTCAGCCACTCCAGTCAGCACTGCCCCGTGGAGTGACTCCTGAACAACCCATTTCCTACCCTTAGAAAATGCTCAGTGTGTTCGGAATACTTTGCAACATTTTACTTTCAGCCGATCGCGGTGGTCACTCCTGTATTCCCAGCACTTTGGAAGGCCAAAGCCGGAGGATCACTTGAGCCCAGGAGTTGGAGACCAGCCTGGACAACATGGCCAAACCCTGTCTCTATGTATTATTTTTTAAATTATGTCTGTTAATGCAATGGATCCTCACAACCATCTGTGAGGTTATATACTTTATCCTCTTTTTATTTTATTTATTTATTTATTTTTTGGTCTCCTTCTATCACCCAGGCTGGAGTTCAGTGGCCGGATCTCCACTCACTGCAACTTCCACCTCCCAGGTTTAAGCGATTCTTCTGCCTCAGCCTCCTGAGTAGCTGGGATTACAAGCGTGCACCACCATGCCTGGCTACTTTTTTTGTATTTTTAGCAGAGATGGAGTTTCACCATGCTGACCAGGCTTATCTCGAATTTCTGGCCTCAAGCGATCTGCCCACCTTGGCCTCCCAAAATGTTGAAATTGCAGGTATGAGCCACTGTGCCTGGCCCTTTATCCCCTTTTAAAAATGAGGGAGCTAAGGCTAGGAGAGGTGAAGTTGCCTACAGCTACTGTCCCACAGCCTGTGGGATTCCAACCCAAGCCCACATCACACCACCCTCAGGACCACTGGAAGAAAATGAGTAAAATTCTGCAGTCCTGCTGTGAGGAAGAGAGGGGAGGAGAGGTGCCCCAAGAGCTGTTCCACAGTTACCCAGGGACAAACACACAAGCACGCATGCACACGTGCACACACACACACACACCCTCCCACCACCACAGTTAGTGCGTCATAAATTCCCAACTGAAAGTAAAGCCAACCAGGTGGAGGGGGGTGGGTAGAGAGAGAAGGGCCAGTAAAAGTTCCCTGGACCATGAGTCAGACCTAGTTCCAGTCTTGACACCTACTCAGTTTGCTTCTCTCACTTCTCAGAACACAGGTTGTTAAGATCACAAGTGTTTCTACCTGAACAACCTGGGTTTGTAGCTGAGTCACACCACTTATTTGCTGTGTGGCCTTGAGCACATCAGTTGACCCCTCTGAGCCTTGTGTTGAGTACCTACCTCAAAAAGGTTGTTGCAGGATTGAGATAAAACATGTGAACTACCTAGCCCAGTACCAACCACATTTTCACAATAATGGTAGTAATTACTGTTCCTCCCCCACAGGCCTTAACTGCTAAACACCCATTTTAAAAAAAATTCTCACCAGCTGGGCCAGGTGGCTCCCGGCCCTACCTCTCAGAGCTTGGGTGGTCCTCACCTTGTTCCCTGGCCCTGTCCTCTAGTCTAGCTGGCTGCTCTCCAGCTCCAAGAAGACGCAGTACAACAGAAAGGGTGCAGGCTAGCCCTTGGGAAGAACTTTCCGCCTGTGTGGCAGAAGAGGGGAGGGGACTAGGATTTCCACTGTCTGGAAGGCATAGGTTTGAGAGGGTCCATCTCGCTCAGAGTTCTGGGCAACACAACTCTGGGGAGGGGCTTGGCAGCCCAGGAGCCTTCAGAAGCCTCCTCTGCCTGCAGAACAGAGCAAGGGCCAACTATCCCCGTGGTCTGGTGGGTAGCAGAGACCCAGGCTGGGACTTGGAAAGCTTGGGTTCTAGTGTTGGCTGGGCCACTCCTTGTGCCTCTCTGGCCTCAAGGAAGCATTGGTCAAATAGGAATAATAACCATGCCCTGCCCACCTCTGTTGTGAAATAAGAGAGCAAGTGAGAGCCTAGATAAGTGATCTGTTCACAGGGTTTCACAGCAAAAGGGGAAGAATGCTGGAGGCTCCCTCCCCACAAGTGTATGAGGGTGGCTGCTGTGCTAGAGGTGGGTGGGCCCATCAGTGACCACAGTGGTATCTCTGCTGTGTGAGGCTCTGCTTAGAAGGAGTTTGTGCTGAAGAGCAGACTCAGGGATTCCTGACTGCCAGCCCCTCCCTCTCTTCAAGGTCAGAACTTCAGAGATAATGTAGCTCAGCTCCCACTGGCCTGGTCCTCCGGCAGCTTCCCCAGCAGTAGCCACAGTCTTTGTCACATACTTTATCATGAGGCACTCACCCGCTTCTGAGGCTGCCTTTGTTGAACAATGCTGGCAGAAAGTGCCTCTTAGGATGAACCCACATTAGCTTCCCTGTCTCTAATGCCCCTTGTGCCACCCCATCACAGGGGCTCATTGTGCCCTATGGAGCCTTAGAGAACATATCTGCTTAGGTCCCTTGGCTCCAAGGCAATCCCACTGAGTTGTTTTCTGTTTGTTTGTTTGTTTGTTTGTTTGTGGCAGGGTCTTGCTCTGTTGCCCAGACTGGAGTGTAGTGGCACAATCATAGCTCACTACAGCCCCCACCTCCTGGGGCCAAGCAATCCTCCCACCACAGCCTCCCAAGTAGCTGGAACCACAGGCATGCTGTGCCACCATGCCTGGCTAATTTTTTTGTGTGTAGAGATGGGATCTCCCTGTGTTTCTCAGGCTGATCTTGAACTCCTAGCTCAAGCGATCCTCCTGCCTTGGGCTCCCAAATTACTGGGATTACAGGTGTGAGCCACTGCATCTGGCCCTAGCAGAGAATTAAAGATACTGGTTACATGCCCTGATTTTTTCCCCCAAAGGAAACCCCAGTTCTTTCACTAATTTCTCTAATGGCTAACAGAGGGAGAACAAAAGTCAAGGTCACTAAAGAGAAACAAAAAGTGGAAAAGAACATCTTAGCTCTATTTCCCCCTTATCCATCTACTTTTAGAGGGGAGCCCGTGTTAGCTGCAGAAGGCACTTGGAAGGCCTTAACTTTCTAAATACAAATCCAATCATTTCTCTTCCCTTCCTAATATCCTCCAACAGCTCCCCACTGCCAACTACTCTACCCATGGTACACTGAGCTCGTCCTTTCACATCTCTGGGTCTTGTTCTATAACTCCTTATATCCCTTTTCTCCTGGCAAACTTCTATACTTCTCCAAACCCCAGTTCAAATAACATCTCCCTTGTGAAACTTTCCTTGGCATTGTCCCCAGCTGCCCACTCCCCAAGGCAGAGCTGAGGCCATTACAAATGGCCTTTTTCTGGTCTCATCAGACATGGATTGGGTTCCTGAGTCTCTTTGTCTCTCTCCCTCTTTCTCCCTCATTTCCCAGAGAAACCTCCTCCTCTCACTCCTGATCCATTCATTCAGCAAATAGTTTTTAGCGTCTATTAGGTAGGCTCTATAGATACACAGCAATGAATAAAACAGACAAGGACCTTACTGTCCATTTGTACAGATGCCCTCCCTCCCACCTTATAGGGAGAAGAGAAGCCATCAGTCAGTAATTCCCTTAACATCTGCCCATGAAAACACACAAATGCCCCCATCCACAACCATCTCCCATCTCCTCCTCCCTTTCAGTCCTAGAGGAGGGAATGAGCCACCTCCTGTTGAAGGCCAGCCCCGCTGTCTCCACCCTGGATCTCTCCCTTTAACCTCATCAAAGACTACATTCCATCAGTCGTCTCCCCTCTTGGTAGTGAAGCAGTAAAAAGTGTTCCATTTTGGGTGCAGGCAATAAGGGCACAAACTAAAGAGTGTGTAAAAATAATAATAAAACTGACTAAAATCTGGCCTGCTTTTTATTAGCAACATGCATCAGCAATTCTAGCCCACATCAGTAATAAAATACTCCTGTCTCCTGGGACTGGGATGGGGATATGCCCATATACACACTTGGTACCCCAGTGGCTCTTTGTCCTTCAGCATACAAACAAGTCTCTCCCATCTACAATAAAAATCCTCTCTCAACCCAATGTTCTCCTCGAGATACCTCCTCTTCTCCTAATTCAAATCCAGGCTTCTAGACTCCCTGACTCAAGCTCTTCAACTTCCTTTATCCCTCAGTCTACTGCAACCTGGTCTCTCTGTCCATCACTCAGCTGCAATTGCTCTCACCAAGGCCACCAACTGGGCACTTTCTAACCCTCAACTTACCTGACTGCTTCCCAACTCTGTAGGCCATTTCTTCCTGGACACCTCTATCTCTCTTGGCTATCATAATATCACACTCTCCTGGTTCTCCTCCACACTCTGACACTCCCTCTTAGCCTTTTTAATGGGCTCTGTATTTTCTACCTATCCTTAATATTGCTATTCTATGAGTCTTCATTGTTGGCCCACTTGGCTTCTTACCCCACACATTCTGCCTGGTCTGTCCCAACCACACCCACAGCTTCAAGTACTGTCTCTCTCTTGCTGAGCTCCAGACCCACTTTCTAGCTACCTCCACTGGAATGCACCATGGACATCATAAATATGATGTGTCTATCCATGTCCTGTGTTCTGTACCCCAGTGAATTATCCCTCTGTCCATTCAATCCCCAGTAGCATGTAAGTCAAAGTGGACTCCTTTCTCCTCCTGTAACACATGGTCACTAAGTGCTGTGGCTGCTAACTCATGATCCCATCTATCCTCATCTCTCAATGATCTCTGCTACTATCTTAGTTCAGCCCTTGTGCTCTTTCTCCTGCACTATTGCACCATCTTCCTTCTTCATCTTCTGGCTCCCAATCATTCCCTCTTCAATCCTTTCTTTGCAATTACAGCTTGAGTGATATTTTGAAAATACAAATCTGAGCATGTCAGATCCCTGCTTCAAATCCTCCCCATTGGCCTAAAGCATAAAGTCTAAGCTCTTTATCCCAACATTCAAGGCCCTTCACGATTTCCCCCTGCTCCTCTCATCCCCAACACTTCACTCCCATACCCCCACATGCCCTCTGCTCTAACCACATTTAGTTACATAGGCCCAGGCATGCTGTGTTCCTTCCTGCCTCCATGCTTCTGCATGCAATTCCTAAGCTTAGAATGCTCTAGGCTGCCTGGGAAAAAGGACCTTCTCACCTTCCCTGGGAAGTCTTCTCCGGGAAGCCTTCTCCATGCTTAGAATTAGGTTCTCCCTTCCATGCTTCCTTAGCTCTCTGTTTATGTATCACACCCTATAGTAGCCACTTTTTCACCCAATGCATTTTCACTGAACACCTACCATATGGCTTATCCTGTTATGGATGCTGGGGCTGCTGACACTAGGAAGGGCCAGTGCCTGAGTTCAAGAAGTTCCTAAACTAGTGTGTGGTCCTTGTAGTCCCACCTACTCAGGAGGCTGAAGCAGAAGGAATGCTTGAACCCAAAAACTCAAGGCTGTAATGCACTATGATCATGCCTATGAATAGCTGCTACACTCAAGCCTAGGCAACATAGACAGACCCTCATCTCTAAAAAAATAAAAGAAGGTCTTAATCTAGTGATGAAAACACACGTAAGTAGATCACTGCATACCATGGGGTAAGTACAGGAATAGTTTTCAGTGAATACTGGAGAGTACAGAGGTGGATCCTAACTATATCTGGGGAGCTCAGGAAAGTTCATGCCTCCCAGTCTTTCACTAAATTACAATTTCTGCAGGGAGGAGATGGTGGCATTCATCTATATACATATAATAAGCCCTCAATAAATGCAGCTGGCACATCCTCAATTCATATTGGATGGATGATTGAACAAAGGGATGAGAGCAAATTTAGTCACTTCCTCCCATCTTCCCACCACTCTGTGTATCCCTCTGTTATAACATATATTTACCCTCTTGTGATTTTTAAATTTTTGCGTCTCTCCATCTAGACTGTGAACTTCTTGAGAGCTGGGACTATGTCTGACTCATTTCTGTTGCCCTGGCACCCAGAAAAGGACATGGTTTAGAAAAAGCATACCTTGATCTTTCTATATTAAGTATACACATTCATAACCCCATCCTCACCCTCTGGGTCCAAAGTCACAGGCAGGAGAGAGAATGAGAGGTCTGTTCCTAATGCCCCCACCAGCCTAAGTACCCAGCAAAACCCTCAACATGAAGGATCTCCCCCAGGGAGCACACTGATTGTAGTTCAGAGAGTGGGATGTGATCTTAGTAACCATCTAGTGCAACCTCCCAATCCCTCTCTCCAGCATAAAAATCCCCCCGCCAGTCTCTAACTCCAAGTATGTGGTCTGTGACTGGGATATTCCTCTCTGTATGCTACCAATCCCACTAGTCTGAAGCTTGGGCTGTTGTAGGGTTCTTCCTTATGCACAGAGGAGACCGCATGGTGTCATACAAAGAATGTGAGAGTTGGGCAAGCCTGAATTCAAGTCCTAGCTCCCCATTTCCTAACTTTGCAAGTGAGGTACTAATCTCTCTGAGGCTCTGTTTCTTCATCTGTGAAACAGAGATAAGAATGACTTCCTTGGCCGGGCACGGTGGCTCACGCCTGTAATTCCAGCACTTTGGGAGGCCGAGACGGGCAGATCACGAGGTCAGGAGATCGAGACCATTCTGGCTAACACGGTGAAACCCCCTCTCTACTAAAAAATACAAAAAAAATTAGCCAGGCATGGTGGCGGGCGCCTGTAGTCCCAGCTACTCCGGAAGCTGAGGCAGGAGAATAGCGTAAACCCGGGAGGCGGAGCTTGCAGTGAGCCGAGATCGCGCCACTGCACTCCAGCCTGGGCGACAGAGCAAGACTCCATCTCAAAAAAAAAAAAAAAAAAAAAAGAATGACTTCTTTTAGGCTGGGCGAGGTGGCTCACGCCTGTAATCCCTGCACTCTGGGAGGCCTAGGTAGGTGGATCACTTGAGGTCAGGAGTTTGAGACCAGCCTGGCCAACATGGTGAAACTCGGTCTCTACTAAAAATACAAAAATTAGCTGGGCATGGTGATATATGCCTGTAATCCCAGCTACTCAGGAGGCTGAGGCAGGAGAATCGCTTGAACCCAGGGGGTGGAAGTTGCAGTTAGCCGAGATCAGGCCAGTGCACTCCAGCCTGGGTGACAGAGCAAGAGAGACTCCGTATCAAAAAAAAAAAAAAAAAGACTTCCTTTATTGCCATGAAAATAAACGAGGCGGCCTGTGTGAGGTGCCTAAGGTATAGGTCCCTAATGCCTCCTTAGCTAGTCAATTTCACCTCCTAGTACGTTCGCTCATTGGCCCTGACTGGACCCACTGGAAACTCCACAAACTTCAGGGCTTTCCTTGCGCTCCAGAGTCCAAGGCTTCTCCACTGCATCCCGACCCCACCCCCGCCTCTCCTCATCTAGGGCACACTCTCTCTCAATTGCCACCTACGCTCTACACTCCCACCCCACGGCCCCCAACCAGCTGGATACCTTCGCAGATGTCACCACGCTCCTGGAATCCCGCGCTGCAGCTGCAGCGGCCCACAGGCACCAGCCACTCGCCGTCAGCGCCGCAGTGCATGCGTGGGGGGCTGCCAGGCTCCCCTTCCGAGTGCGCCACGCACGTTCCGGCCACTTCCACCAGTGTGGAGAAGGCACTCTCGGCTGCGGTGGCTGGGAACGCGGCCAGGCCCCGCACAGTGGCACGGCACTGCTTGTAGTAGACGCGTACGGAGACAAGCGCCACGCAGGCGCCCACGTCCTGAAAGGCCAGGTGGAAACCCCGCCGGCTGAGTGGGCCAATCTCGCGCACCTCTGTGTTCAGCTTCATCTTGCGCTCACCCAGGTCGCCCTGCGTGAAACTCTCGTCCGCCGCGATCGTGTCGATTTTGCGGGGCCGGCTGCCGCCTAGGCGGGGACGCCCGCGGCCCAGGTCGGCCTCAGTTTCCAGGTAGTAGACGTTGAAGGTCTCCTTGCAGGTGCCCGCGGCGCCAGGGATGCTGCTGCAGTCACGGAGTGTGAACTGCAGCTCCACAAAGATGCGCTGCCCGCGGCCGCGGCTGATCCAGCCAGTCTGCAGCCAGTTGTCTTGGTTGGGCTCCAGCACATTGCACACTTGGTATGTGCGGATGGGACGGTCGTGTTCATCCACACCGCTGATCTCCTCCCACTGGGGACAAGAATAAAGGGGTGGGCAGCCCAGAGCCAACGTGCTTCCAGGAGGTGGAGCGCTAGCAGTGACTCCTGACTTCTCTCTCACCACCATGCACACCCCGGAAATTGTAAGATGCAGCGCTGGGAGAAACTTTGGAAACAAATGATCCCAATCCTTATTTTTATAGATGGGGAAACTAAGGCTCCAGAGTGAGAGCGATTTGACCAGGTATGCACATCAAGTTAGTGGTGGAGCTAGGAATGGTGCCTGTAGTCTCCTGACTCTCTGACCAGTGCCCTTTGCACTCCACCAAGCTGCTGTTACAGCCCACATCATCCCACCCCTACCCCAAGTCTCCAAGCCTCTTTTAGGACTCCCAGTCTTGCTTGCTCTGTCAATCAATCAACATTTCTTGGAGGATCTACTACTATGTGCAAGCCACTGTCCTGTATTAGCTCCATCTGGATGCCCGGTTTCTGTTCCTAGACAGCCAGTTCTGTCCTCACTTATTCACTTTTTTTTTTTTTTTTTTTGGACTGTCTAACTGCCTGAAGACTCAACGTTTTCTAATAGGCAACTCTGGCTTGAAGCCAGGGCTGCTGGAGACCACACACTCTGAGGAGCACTTTTGTCTGATGTAAACATGAGGAGCTGAGGAGACTGTGTCCTGGACCACCAGAAGATCCCTGGGACAGGGAGGGACACTTGTGCACTTACCCCATTACTCGGCAGTGCAGTCCAGCCCAGCTCGGCCTGGGAGGCTTTGGAATCCAGGAGGATGACTAAGAAGAGGGGAAGACAGAAATGTCAGAAATCGAGAAGGTCAATTTAGCAAGAGAGTGGAATCCTTTGGTGAAGTCCCTGTAAATTTGCTGAGAGAATGCAAAATGTGACAAATGATATGGACAAGTTTTTCCTACTTCATAAATCCCCAGGAGGGGGTGTGAATAGCTCAAATCCAGAGAGAGGTAGCCACAGTCAGTAGGGAAGGAGCTTGTATTCAATTCCTGGGGCTACTGTAACAGATTACCACAAACACAGTGGCTGAAAACAACATATTGTTTTTCTGTTACAGTTCTGGAGGTCAGAAGCCCAAAGCCACTTTCACTGGTCTAGAGTCAAGGTGTCAGCAGGACTGTTTTCTTTTGGAGGCTCTGAGGGGAGAATTCATGTCCTTACCATCTTCAGTGTCTGGTGGCCGCCTGTAGTCCCTGGCTTGTGGTCTCCTCCTCCATCTTCAAATCATATCACTTTAATCTCTGCCTCAGTCATCACACTGCCTCCTCCTCTGACTCTGACTCCTCCTGCACCCCTCATACAAGGACGATTATGATTATTGGGCCCCTCCAAATAGTCTAAAACAATCTCTCCATCTCAAAAGATCATTAATCACATATGCAAAGTCCTTTTTGTCACTGAAGGTAACATTCACAGGTTCTAGGGATTAGGATATTGACATATTGGGGGTGGGGGTCATTATTCAGCCTTCTACAGGGTCCATGGCAAATACTCTAAGGTTGGCTCTCAGATTGGGGTGGGAGTCAGTGACTCTCCCCAGCCTTCTTAGATTCCCAAAGTTATAACTAAGTGTCAATTAGAGAGAGAGAGAAAGTGAGTAGTGAATGTATCGGGGGATTCCTGTATATACCCCCCAATCCACTCCCACTCAGGGGTTTTTCTGAGGTCGATGGTCCCCAGGCATGAAGACTTGAACATTTTTAGTCTGACTCCCTGGGCCTCTGAGAAAACAATGTAGAGAGATACTGCTAACAACTGGAGAAATAAAATCTCTCTTCTCCTCAGCCAGCCCTTTCCCCAGGGGCTGTCACTTCCACTGCTTTTGAAAGAATGTCAGGGGTCCTTTTATGTATACATCTATGACCCTTCCTACCAGAGAAGCTTGGATTCCCTTTATTCCCCCAGGAGGCATTGGATCAGCAGCCTGCAGCCGCCCAGCATGGATCACAGAAACTGGTTTGGACAGCAGAGCCCGCAGACCAGAGACAGGAGGCCAGGACATCCCGCAGTCTTGGAAGATTACCCTCTGGAGCTTAAGCCAGGGGGTGGGCCACCAAGGTGAGGGCCTCTCCAGAGGCATCAGCGACTGTGGGCAGGACCGCCGACAGCTTTCCGAGATCCGCGCAACTGACAGCACATCGGAATTGCATACTGGAAGGCATCAGCCATCCAGGGCCCCGACCAACCCCGCGGTCAACGCCTCAGATTCCAGCTCCTCCGGATTCTGCACCTGGATATGACGCCTCTGGATTCAACTGAGCGTATAGCTCCCCCAAATGCACAATCAGAGGCAAGACGCGGGCTCCAGTATCGCCGACAGCCTCAAACCCGGCAACGCCGAGCGCGCCCGGTAGACTACGCTCAGAATTCAGCACTGCGGACAGTTCCATGATCTGCACGTCGGGCAGCGCCCGGACCCAGCCCCCCTCGACCAGCATTCCACCTCATGCTGGCCACACTGTGGTCTCCTAGCCCCTGTGGTCCGGGCTCCGTCCGGTCTTTCCATATTCCGAGCTCACCTCCGCATCTCCCTGTCTCCACTCTTCATCTCCCCGCCCCCGCACCTCCCACCTCCAATCACTCAGCTTGTCCGTCTCACCGGCGGCCGCTGGACCTCTGCCTCTGGCTCCCGCGGTTCCTGGTCTCTTTCTTCCCCAACCTCCCGGGTCTCCAGCCCCCAAGCTCCTCAGCGCCCCTCTCTTCGCTATTGCTTGGCCACATTTTTCTCTGTCTCTCCAGTTCTTTACTGCCTGCTTGCTTCAAGCCCCAGTACAGACTCTAGTCTCTCCAATGACTCCTTCCCGCAGAACCCCCGTCCCCAACCCCCTATCTTTTGGCATGCCAGGCTCCGAGCAAAGCCCACCAGTCTTCTCACCTTCCTCGGCGGTCCCAGGCCGCCAGGGTCCCAAAAGCAGCACGAGACAGAGCGGCATCCGGGAGAGGAACAGGCGCAGCGGGTGTGGACCGGCGCCGGTCTCCATGGTCCGCAGACCGAGCTGTCAGTGCGGCGGCGGCTCAAGCCGCGCCAGCCTAGCACCGCTGAGCAGTGCCCCCAGACCCCAGCGCCAGCTGGGGGCGGGGTCTCGCCGCTCGCCATCATCCATGGGGACCAATCACTAGGCACCGCCGCGGGATGCCCACCAATCCCCGCCAGCAGAGGGTGGGAAGGTGGAGTTTCATAGGCCAGGGGCGGAACACCCAGCTGGTGGGGAAAGGAAGGGGTCCCGCAGATCCCCAAACCGTGGGGGGTGGGGCAGCCGTGGGAGCTGGCGGGGCTTCTGAGCGAGGGGGATGAGCTGGCGTCGGTGGCCCAGAGCGCTAAACCTTAGCTCCTCATTCCTGAGAAGTAGGCAGGCAACGTGGGCTTGGCTTAAAGAGGGGCGACCCTCGGGGAGGCAGCGACACTTGCAGCCTCTGAGCTAGTCTGGAAGCTCCCTTGTTCCCAGGACTTGGGGGTTTTGAAGCTTTATGTCCTGACCCCAAGCTCTGGGGAGCTCTCCTATCTCCCTGCCCTAGGTCTGTTCCTGTGTCTGAGGCTCCTGGTGTCTCCTGGCTCATCCCTCCCCTTTCTCTTCCCGCCCTCATCACACACACACACACACACACACACACACACACACACACACACAGCGGCAGGAAGGAGGGGCCGAACCCGAACCCGGGAGCTGCTCGGGAAAGGAAAGCAAAGTGAGGGACGGGGTCCCGCCCTACCAGCGCGCTGCCGAGGCTGGGAAACCATGTGGACGCTGGGATGGGGGCGGTGGTGGTTTTGCATGAACGATCTGTTCCTCAGGTTCTTGCTCCTGCTGTCAAGACACAAGCAGCACACCTCACAACCACCCCTGTCCTCAGTCTGCTCAGAGTCGGGGGTTCGCCTCTTTGATCACCCCACTCCGCCCACCCCAGGGGACTAGTGAACAGCACAGCCGCCAGGAATTGGAGATTCCTGCGAGAGAGGCGGAGCAATCCTGGAAGAGTTCAGCCAGGACTGAAGAAGCCGCAAGAAAACGTGGAACACGACCTCTGTCTAGTGAAGGTCATTTATGTGCAAGCTGAGGGTTTAACACTTTGGTGGTGGGAAGGGCTGGGGCCCTCCAGGACGAGGGAGGCGGCTACTGAGCGCCACCATCTGGGCTGAACTTGAGGGGAGAAAGCTCCACCCACCTCGTGGCTTTTCCGAGCTCTTTTCTTGGGGCACCCACCCCCTCTCTATTTGGAAGCGAACATAGCCTAAGAAGCCTCGAGAGTGAATGTGAATCCTGTGACTACTTGGCCCCTGCGGTCTGAGTGTCTGTGCTTTTGCATATATGTATCCCTCACCCCTCCACCCAGCCCTCACTGGGCGCCATGCTCTGTGCTGCAGATGCCCTGGTGAACCATTCTGTCTCTGCCACAGTCCATACCTCTTTGAATACCGAGTGTAAGGAGGATTCCTGGCATCGTAGATCACTGGCCATTTACAACCTGCTTTCATGTGCCATTTCTGCGTGTGTTCGTGTGTATGTGTGTGAGTAAATGCACACGTGCTCACTCAGACATACTTGCTGGACAGTAGCAATAGGAGGAGTAGGTGGGAGGAATTGGTCTTCTTTACCTGCAGAAAGAAAAGTCATCAGGAGAGGCTGTGGCTTGGACACTACGGGAGACAAGCCCGCTGAGGAAGCAGAAGGAGGTGTGGCATCCCTCCAGTCCTTGGATGCAGGCTGAACCTCTAAAACCAGACCTACCTGAGGAAGGGTTCTCACACTGCCACCTCCTTTCCATCTTCATTCTCCTCATGCTCGATTTCTCCCCTCCCCCTCCCTCCAGCTCTGGGAGATGGTATTTTTAGAAGCTGCTTAGAGACCCGGGACTCCTTTCATTTCAAAATGAGTCCTCACTCCACCATCCCTCACTCCTCTTTAGAACCGGGTGCCATCTCCTTAGCAGGCTCTAAGGCACTAGTCAGGGTTTCTTACTGAAGCTCCAGGGACTTCAACCCAGAGGTTCTGACCCTAGGTGCTAAAACAAAATACAGACTTCCTCTGAACCTGAGAAGGACCTTTCAGAAACCAAGCAGATGGGGGAAATTACCCGGGGAAATCTACATAGGATGCTCTGGCAAACATCTGACTGTTGGAGTCTGGTTTCTACCTTCTTCCACCATACACACCTTCAGGCATCTGGGATGAATTTCCAGACGGAGACCCTAGGAATAGGGGGAAAGAAGAGGACGAAAAGTCGTGAAATAATCCTTCCCTTTCTTCCTCTGAGCAATTCATTTATAATAAAACCAGAATGGAGAAGCCCCAGTGAATGCAGATATATGCAAATCAGCTGGATCTTAATAAGAGTTGCTCTAAGGCGGACCCCACTCTATCAGGAAGCTGCTGAAGAGACAGCTCAGTAAAATTCCGGAGGGCCTTAGAAGGAAACCAACCCATTGTTTATCGGGACATTTAGGTGCTGGAGGCCAGTTAACTAATGGCTAGAGTTAGGTTCCTCCCAGGAATAGCAGTGGAGACTGGTGAAATTTGGGGGTGGGGGCAGGGGCGGGTATCTGTCCCTGGCGTTGAACCCTCAGCCTTCCGGCCAGCTTTGGGCTTTCTGTCCATGGTGCTGAATCCAACAGGGTCTGGACACTCAGCTGGACCTGGGACTTCTCTGCTGCCATGTTCTGATCCTTGGCAGGATCATAAAGGGTAAGTAGTTTTGCTTCATAATCTTAAAGATTTTCTCTGCTTAATTTTCAAAATTAGTAAATTAAATGCTTTATATTTCCTTTAGCTAAGAATATACAGTGGTGGCTTCTACTCCTCCAGCCTATAACCAAAATCCGACAATTCATGTCTTCAGGAGATAAACAGCCTTCACTCCCTTGCAGAAGAGTGGAGGGGCCTGGAACCCACCCAGAAACATCTTGTTTTCTCTTTTGCTCCTCTCAGACTTCTACTGAAGTAGGCTGGAAGAGATACTCCTCTCTACTTCTACCTCACTATCTTCTAGGATCGTGGGGGAGGACACTTGATGTGGCTGAGCAACTTAATTAAGCACCCAAAATAATAAAAAGTGACCTTCCAGGGAGCAGATTTAATGTTACCACAACCTCCATCTCCAAGTTACTGAAAGTTACAAATCTAGAGGCTGAAGATTTGACCTCTTCCTTTTGCACAGATACAGAAAGTATGGTGAGCCTGACTGGACAGAGAAGGTTATCTCCTCTATAAAGAAGTTTAAGATTGTGTCAGAGGAATCAGGGTCAAGTCCCACTCTCAGGAAGAAGGACGGGGAGAGGCAAAGAGCAGTGGGAGCTTTATTGTTCAAAAGGTCATCTTTTTTTTTTTTTTTTTTTGAGATGGAGTGTCTCTCTTTTTTGCCCAGGCTGGAGTGCAATGGCATGATCTTGGCTCACAGCAACCTCCGCCTCCCAGGTTCAAGCAATTCTCCTGCCTCGGCCTCCCGAGTAGCTAGGACTACAGGCACACACCACCACACCTGACTAATTTTTAAATTTTTTGTAGAGATGGAGTCTCTCTTTTTTGCCCAGGCTGGAGTGCAATGGCCCGATCTTGGTTCACTGCAACCTCCACCTCCCAGGTTCAAGCAATTCTCCTGCCTCAGCCTCCCAAGTAGCTGGGACTACAGGTGCACACCACCATACCTGGCTAATTTTGTGGTTTTAGTAGAGACAGGATTTTGCCATGTGGTCCAGGCTGGTCTCAAACTCCTGACCTCAAGTGATCCACCTGCCTCAGCCTCCCAAAGTGCTGGGATTATAAGCGTGAGCCACCACGCCTGGCCTCAATTGTATTTTCTTGGATAAAGGAAGCATAGAGCATTTAATTTACTAATTTTGAAAATTAAGCAGAGAAAACCTTTAAGATTATGAAACACAACTACTTACCCTTTATGAGCCTCCACTTCTTTCTGTGTAAAATAGGAGCAAAAACACCTTTCAGAGTTATTGTGAGGTCAGAATATAATTTTTACATATGGCCCAGCTCTGTGCTTGGCACGTAGCTCTGGTATATATTATTAATCAACTCCATGGTTAATTAAGGTTAAAAAAAAAACAGAAGGAAAAAGGAAAAGAAGTCTGGGCATGGTGGCTCACACCTGTAACCCCAGCACTTTGGGAGGCCGAGGTGAGTGGATCATCTGAGGTCAGGAGTTCAAGACCAGTCTGACCAACATAGTGAAACTCCGTCTCTACTAAAAATGCAAAATAGCTGGATGCGGTGGTGTGTGCCTGTAGTCCTAGCTACTCGGGAGGCCGAGGCAGGAGAATTGCTTGAACCTGGGAGGCGGAGGTTGCTGTGAGCCAAGATCATGCCATTGCACTCCAGCCTGGGCAAAAAAGAGAGACACTCCATCTCAAAAAAAAAAAAAGAAAAAAAAAAGGAAAAGAAGGGATAAAGGAAGGTTAAGTGGTGAGGTAGGAAGACAGAAAGATATATATATACATATATATATGTGTATATATATATATAATTAGAGAGAGAGAGTCATAGAGGAAAAGACAGAATGAGAGAGAAAGAAAGAGACAGCTGGTTGAGGTGAATGTGGCTAGAAAGAACAGGAGTCTGAAAGAAATGTGCTTGAAGAGACAGGAATGTCATCAGGGCAGGTTGGCTGGCCAGCTGCCAAGTGGCATCAGAGGTGACATTTACTTTGAATTCATCATGGTCCAGGCTTATGAACTTGACTTTAACAGCATTAAGAGAGAATCTATCTATTGGGGAATGGAAAGTAGATCCTACTAACCCAGCTCCTATCCTGCTATCTGAGCCAGAGAAGCAATGTATTAATTTATGATGAGAAATGGAACTGCCAAGGGGGACAGAATGCTCACAATGGCATGTCCAGCACATTCTTTCCCTGTAGGAAAACATGTCCTGGAAGCCAATTTATGATGTGAAGACAGCTTTGAGAGTGGGAGGGGAGGGAGGTGAATGGTTTAAATATTTGATGGCATCAGGCTCTGATAGCCTTGTTCCTCCAAATCCCCAGAAGGGATAAACCTGCTATTGGCACCTGAGTAACTGTGTAGGGGCCAGGACTGGGACTGGAATATACAAACATGTGCTT